GAGAATATTGTTTAAGGCAGAGAATTGATGATGTGAGTTTGTGAATTTGCATGTTAAGTGGATAAATTGAGACTAACATCGAGGCAGATGGAATTTAGACTGCATTGGTAACATCTAAAGTATGGACTGTGAGATTTGAGAATATAAGTTCATGATTGGCTTTTATGATGGATGTTACATGTGCTTATGGGCAATTTTTTCATTTTTTTTCTCCCAAACTCAGGTAGTGTCATTATTGTTGTAAATTTTAATTAAAAATTGATTTGCAAATTCAATGAGCATGCGTTTTCTCAAAGGAAAATAAATGAAATGTTTATTGCAACCGTTTATATATACATTGTGCAACGATTTTAATTTAATTAGTCATTTAAATTAATAATTATATTTTGATTACAATTTGAAAGTCTATAAATAAGTAGTCCTCTATTTGTGTTATAGGCTATTACATAAAAAATATACTGCACTCGTATTCTCATTTGGGCAAGGAAAGGTGATGGTGTGGAGCTTGCTTTACAAGGATGCAGTACTTGTAAAGCCACAATAAAGAATGTTGGGTTGTTGTATTTGGGTGAGGGTGGCATAACCATATAAAATTATTGCATAAGTGACACGAAATGTTCTAAAATGAGTGATTCATCTATGCTTCAGCCTACCATTCTTCATTTTTGTGAACATTATTTAATATTATTTTTTTTCTTGTTTACTTTAATTTAATACTAATTTCTCATATTTTTTGTTGTGAGGAACAATGCAGATATGCTGGAATGCAAAGAAGGAAGCCAAGAAACAACATTTATATATAGAAGATATGAAGATTAAAGTTTGAGGAACAACAATTACAAGTCTACAGAACATAGTAAAGAATGAAGGATGAAGGTTTCAAGGGATTGTACTGTGGGCTTTCACCAACAATAATTGCTCGACTTCCAAACTGGGCTGTGAGTATATATATTTTTTCCATTTAATGCTTTGGGTGCCGAAGATGCAATTGATTGGGAGAAACATAGAATTCATGTAATTTAGAGCATGGATTGGGCATTCCATCCTTAGCGCAAATTTGGAAGAGGTTTCATGTTGTGAATGCTAATTTTTTTTTCCAAAAGTTACTTCAAAATTAACCAATGCATTATCTTTTAAGTTGTCATGTAAAAATTCCTTTTTTTGGTCCCCTTAACCAATTGGGGTTGAAATGAGCATTAGTGGGTGCAAGTTAAGTGGTCTTAAATCACCATGCATGGCTGTGTTGTGAGTTCCTCAGAGAATTTGATCAAGTCCTTGGCATTGCTCTTTTGGTGAATAGTTTAAAGCAAAACTTTGCCTTCTTTATACTGACTGGAATTCTGGAATTCTTTAGCAAATGATGCAAAACACCGTTTTTCTTTAACCATTTAGTAAATGAAAACACCATTTTCTACATACTGACAGGAATTCTCATTTTATATCTA